TACGTTGTTTCAACGTTGTTCTAACGTCTTACCAACTACGTATCAATCAAATATATCACCTATTCAAAGTTGAAATATGGTTGATATGTAGTCGATAAAACGTTAGATCAACGTTGAAACAACGTAATCATCGACGTTGTTTCAACGTCGTAGTTTTCGACGTCGGATTTTATTTCCAATTCAACCAAATTTCAACGTTGTTTCAACGTGGCATATGGTCGGTTTACGACGTTGTTTCAACGTTATTTCAACGTCATTGTGCCTGCTGGGTATGCTGACAAAATATTAAGTGTTTCAGCAATTAAAGATTTATATGTAATAATTTTATTTTCAATGTTAAGATTTATAGCAAGACTATTTCCGTCAATTTGTTTTGTACTAATTACTCCCTTAATTATGTTTCAAGCATTTTTCGGATTATTTTTAAATTTTATTAAATGCTCGATATACCAATATTTCTTTGACTTTTTAATAATCATCTCAAAAATTCGTTTATAATTTTTGTAATTAGTTTCATTATTTAAAGATTTTTTTTTTGAGAAAATTATTATAAAGTCGTTGCTTTTTTTTTGACGACTTTATAATTCCGTGCATTTAATTTTTTCACATATTTTGTAACTACAGGAAAAGAACTGTAAAGTTGTTACAATTTATCAATAAACTTATCGTATGCCTTATCTGCGTGTTCAATATCAAGGAGGTCATCCCAGTTTAAATTTGATAGAAGAGTATTAAAATCTTCAATGAGTTTTTTATTTATATTTCGCGCATTTTTTTTTAACTTTTTGGGTATAGATATTATCAATTTTTTGTGAATAAGAAATACAGGGAAGTAATCTGAAATGTCGCATTTAAATATTCCTATTTTAATTCCAATGAGTCGAGTAATCAATATAACCAATTCTAATAACAAAATTCACAATTATTTGTAGTTTGTAACAAATACAATATATTTGTAGCTACAAAAACAGTATACTTGTAGCAACAAATACAGTATGACGTGTATACAAAAACAGTATGACGACAGTATAACGCTTTAACAGGAACAAAGTTAATGATTTTCAACGTTTTTATTGATTAATTTATCTAATTTTGTCTGATATTTGTTATTTGACGTTTTTTATGAAACAATCCGCTTTAATTAAAATAAAAACTTTGGGATCATATTTCAATAGTTCGTGACAAATATATCGTAACGTTGAAACTGTCACAGACTAGCGTTAACTGTTTTTTTCTTTTTTTTTATGTTATTTTAAAATACACAAACTGTCAATAAAACTCACTTGATTAACCAATAATGTTAAACTTGATTAACCAATAATGTTAATACAGTTAATTTCTCATTAAGCCATATTAAGAACGTTAAAAAAGATTAGAGAGTAGAGTGTAGTAGTGTTTGTATTTTAAAGATAGTTACTCTTTTACAATTAACCAGGGGCCGTATTCTCAACTCTCCGTTAAGCTTAACGGAGAGTTAGAAAAAAATTTCTTTTTAACTACATTAATAAAAAAGTTTTTTAAAAATATAAATTTTTAAAAATAAATTTTTTTCTTTTAGTATTAGTTTTATTTTAAAAAATTTAAATAAGATTTTCGTCATTTCTTTACTTAGATATATATTGTAATAAAATTTCAGACAAAAGCTCCGTTAAGCTTAACGGAGAGATGAGAATACGGCTGCAGATGGATTAAATGACAGATGCTTTAGCAGTAAAAGTAGCAATTCAAGACCAGGGCCGGCGCGAGTAGGTGTCACGTGGGGGGGAGGGTGCCGTTACATTTTGCCGACTAAAAAAAAAAAAAAAAGTCCTCGTTTTCCACACCCCCCTATCGCGCCGGCCTTGTTCAAGACTATGGAATTCATTGAGAAAGAATTCATTGACTTCTTATTTAAGACAAGAGTATTAGGAGTAAAATCTAAATTTTTTGCTGCGACATATTTTTATATATTGTAAAGAAGAATATGAAGTATCATAAAATAAAGATGCCAAAATGTAATGATGCTAAAATGTAGGAATAGCTTAGGGCCGATAACACCGCTCCCCCCTCACATTTTTTTCTAGTAGTTTTTTTTTTTTTTTTTTTGGAAAAGATTTTTTAAAGAAATTTTTTTAAGATATAGAGGACTTTTTTCACAAACTGATGATTGTGCCCGCCCTCCCTCCCCCATCCACTTACAACTTTATTTGAAGTTGCAAAAACAAACTTTTCTACTTTTAACTTAACTTTTAACTTATTTTTTTCAACTTAATAATAAGTAACTTATTATACTTTAGTTATTTGAAAAAATTTAGTTAAAAAAAATCGAGTAGTCTTTTTAATCAAATCTAAGATCAAGACTCATTGCAAAAAAAGCATTATGAACAAATAAATGCTTTTGAAAAAAAAGTTTTGTCTTATTATCTTACTTCAAATATGTGGTAAATTTATAAAATAAAGTTTAATGTTTCGGTGAAACTTAGTTTGAATTTGATGTTTTGGTGAAATTCTGTTTTTTTTT